CCTGGTAGTATCCCAGCCCACATACAACCATGACATTTTCTTCAAACATAAACTTCATCCTGCATCGGCCGTCGCGCAGATTATCAAGGGTCGCCTTATCTGCTGCATACAGCGGGGCGGATAAGCGAAAACATGCTACTGCTGGCGCCTCCCTTCTTTCTTTTCCACCTCTCACTCTCACTCCCATCCCGGCCCCCATTACTAACCTTCCTTCTATACTTCCCAGCTTAATTGACAGCAACCGAAGTGCTACTGGAGTAGTACTATCTGCAGCCACCATCCCACAGCACTTATCGGACGCCTATCGGCAAAACTCCCTTATGAGGCCACGCTATCCCGTTTCCATGGCAACATTCAACATCCGCACTCTAAGACAAACAGGTCAGCAGGCTGCACCTTGGACACACTGCGTGTTGATGTGTGTTGTGGGCCCGAAACTAGGATTAATGACCCTAACGGGGTTATTGAATTGACTGCACCCGGCTTATCCTCTCGTTATTGGTTGCACGCATCCGAGGACGCCGATGCGGCACTCACGGGTCAGACTGGTGTAGGTATCATTCTCAGCTCCAAGGCTGAGTCATCGTTGGTTGATTGGATTCCGGTGAACAGCCGTTTATGTGCAGCCCCTTTGACGACATCAGCTAAGGTGAATTCGCGAAGTAAAACAAAACGCTGTCTGTTTGTGATTTCCGTTTATGCTCCCACCGACTGCAGTTCTAATGCAGTCAAGGACACTTCTTATCACGAACTGAACACGCTACTACGCAGTGCCACTAGTTCAGATATTGTAGTACTTGCAGGGGATATGAACGCACAAGTAGGGAGTCTGAGCTCTTCAGAAGCTCAGCTGGGTGGTAATTATGGACTTAACTCCGAAGAGACTGACAACGGCGAGCGTCTGCTGCAACTGTGTGCGGCGCACCAGTTGTTTCTTACTAGCACTGCTTTTAGACACAGTGGGCGCCGAAGTGCCACTTGGCGTCCACCTGTAGCTGGCCAGCGATGGGCCCAAATTAACCACATAGCCATAAGTTACAGGTGGCGCGGTTCCATTCTGGATTGCCGCTCGTACTGGAGTACCTGTGTCGACTCTGATCATGCCTTGGTACACTGTAGTTTCTCCATGAACTTTACCGGAAGGCACACAAAGTGTCTCCCCCGATTGGCAACGGAGAAATTGTCCCAGCCCTCTGTCAGGCAAGCCTATCAAGAAGCACTGCATAGCGAACTCTCGCTGTCTTGTCCTAATGACAATGAACTTCAGTGGAATAGGATCTCGGCCGCTATGCACGACGCAGGAGCAGCTGCTTGTGGCACTATGCATCGTCACCGCACCAGTCACTGGATATCCGAGAGGTCCGTGAACCTGTTGGAAGCTAGAAGACACCTCCCGGCTGGTTCTGAACACAATGTGACCAGACGGGCTATTAGGCGTGAACTAAAGCAGAGTCTACGTGCTGACAAGGAAGCCTAGTGGACCAGTCGGGCTCAAGAAATGGAGGAGGCAGGAGCAGTAGGCAATTACCGGAAGCTCTTCCAGCTAATCCGCACCACTGGTCTCAGAAAACCAGGCGTCAGTGGGACAATCAGAGACAGCGCGGGTGCGCTGATACACCATAAGGAGCGCCGTATGGCTCGTTGGGCTGAGCACTTTGCAGATCAGTTCAGCTGGCCCCGTGCTCCCGGACCTCTTCCTACTCAGGTGATGCAGGACGAGCCATGGACGGTTAGTTTAGAGCCTCCGTCGGAGGCCGAGGTCCGAAACGCGATCACAGCCCTCAATCGTTTTCGTGCCGCTGGCCCGGATTCCCTACCACCTGCACTATTTAAGGATGGAGGTGAGGTCCTCTGCAAAGCACTGACCTCACTATTCGAACGTATCTGGAACGAAGAGAGTGTGCCGGCTAATTGGAGCGAATCGATTAGTGGCAATATACAAAAAGGGCAGTCGCACAGACTGTGGGAACCACAGGGGTATTAGCCTAACGCCAGTTGTGACAAAATTACTGGTCTCGATTCTCGTTCGTCGCCTCACTGCAGAACGAGAATCTCGAAATAGGGAAGAGCAGGCCGGTTTTGCCCAGGACGTGGCTGTATAGACCATATATTTACTTTGCAGCAGGTGCTAGAGCGGCGCCACACATACCGCAGACCGACAATAGCTATGTTCCTCGATTTCAAGAGTGCGTTCGATTCGGTCGATTCTGTTCGAAATACTTGAGCAGAAAGGTGTTCCCGCGAAATATGTGAACATTCTTCGTGCTCTATACTCGAACACTACAGGCCGCGTCAGGGTCTATGGTGCCCTATCGGATAGCTTTTCGACTACAAGTGGCGTTCGACAGGGTTGCCCGATTTCCCCGTTTTTGTTCAATTTCGTCGTGGATTCTATCATGGAGTGTTTCCTTGCGGAATCTCACGATGTAGGCGCTGAAGTACTGCCTGGTGAAAGGTTAGTTGATATAGATTATGCGGACGATATCGTCTTGCTTTTCGACAATGTTGCGGCGGCCCAATCGACCCTGAATAGCCTGTCCACAATGATCCCATTATTTGGTATGCACTTCGCACCTTCAAAGTGCAAAGTGTTGCTGCAGGACCACCAGCCACTTGATGACCCCTTGACGCTTGCTAACGAGGAACTCGAGGTGCTGGATCAATTCACTTATCTTGGCAGCTGCATCAGCAATGATGGGCGCAAAGAAACCGACGTGAGCTCACGCATTGCCAAAGCCAGAGCTGCCTTCTTGAACCTGCGTCATCTTTGGCGACAGAAGGGGTTTACCTCCGTCTGAAAGGCCGTGTATACAAGGCCACAGTGAGGGCTGTTCTGCTCTATGGTAGTGAAACTTGGCCCCTTCGGTCTGAAGATCTGAGGCACCTTCAAGTCTTTGATCATCGTTGTTTGCGAAGCATTGCTGGTGTCGGATGGCACAAGCGTATCCCCAACGATGATGTGCGTAGGCGAGTACTAGGTGGTGATAATCATGCTAGCTCCCTAGAACAACAGATAGCACTGAATAAGTTTCATTGGCTCAGGCACATGCTACGTATGCCTGGTCACCGCTTACCTAGGAGGGCCTTGTTCAGTCTACCAGGTGTAGGATGGCGCATGGCTCGAGGTGGACAGAAGTTGACTTGGCAGTGGGAAATGAAGTCACTGACGACCAAACTGGGTGCCGTTGGTCCGTCTCGCCTTCCGGGTTGGAGTCCACGTGACTCGGCTTGTGCTTGGCTCGAGACTTTACAGGATGTGGCTCGCAACCGACACCAGTGGCGCGTCTGCTGCCGCCTTCTAATCGGATTGCCTGTTTAAAGTGTGTTTGGTGCTGAATTATCTGCGGGGTAATGGCTGATTATGACGCGTGGCAGTGAAAGCCGCAAGGAAGCTGTCTCGCCGATGCCGCCTTATCTTTGCACGATAGCCAGCTGTTTGTGACGGTATGTTGTCTACACAAGGTGTAGGCGCCTTGACCCTGAATGTTTGCTTAGGGCATTAAGGTTTTCAGGTAAGTCCCCCTTCTTTCCCTCTTCTCATTCTTTATTTCATAGGTCCTCATAGTTGTATGGCAGCGAAGCATCAGTTCAAATGGCTGATGTACTGCTGTTGTTGTTGATGATGATGATGATGATGAACCATGTAGTTGTATTATTCTCGGGCTAATGCATTTGTGGTGGGGCGACACAGGTAACCGTGAAACCGACTGAAGTGTGATATTACCAACAGTTTTAGGGATGTACCGCCATTCTTCTAGGTTATGAGTATAGGCTTCTTCGTCGCTGGATATCAATAGCGAGGACACGCCATGAACGGAAATGATTTTCTCCTACTCTCTATGTGTGGTTACCGTCTGAATTTTGTTCCGCTGGCGTTCGCACCATGGAACATCCAGCAAAATGCGTATCCCGCTGTCTTCAGTCCGCGGGCGGTATGCCGATAGAAGCACCGTCTCGACATCATCTGTGGATCCAAATGTTACTCGTATTAGCCAGGACACACCGTAGTGTATCCAAGGTGGGTGTCTATTGATGCGCATTAAATTAGTCGGCTTGGCCCGAGCTCGGATTTGATCACAAAGGAAATTCCGCTGTTTCAGTTCATCCTGCAGTTTACCCCCTAAGGAATTTGCCATGGACTCTGATTGTCAGGGCACTGTAGTTCCATCAGGTTTTCGGTGATGGGGGGGGGGCTTTGGTGACGACTCTTCGGGTCGCACCTTAACATTCACTCGTGTTGCCTGTACAGCGTGAACCTAAAAAGTCGCACTTTGAGTACATCGGGCAGCAATGGTTGCATAAGGAGATCGGTCTTCGGAGGTTCGACTTTTTCGACCAAACGGAAGTGTAAGTGTTACTGATATTGCATCAGCCGACACATTGGATAGCAGGATGTGGGCGGTAGAGCCAGACATGCTTCAACTGTTCGCGACGACGAGTCGGTTCGTGGTCCCCCAAGGTTTCTGGTACTGCAATACCATGGAAATACCTGGCCCTTTTTCGTGTTTTCGCGGTATCAACTGGAGGAGACGGATGAGATGTAAGCTGTGCTATTATCGTCTCGAGCGAAGCAGTTTTCACATTTAAAGGATGTTCAGTTTCGCCGACTGGACTGTTGTACTTTTGTGCGAATGCTGGCGCACATCTTAGAAGTAGAACCGTCGCACGCTTATGACAGGGCCAAAGTGAGCCTGGCGTATTGTTAAATGTCTTTATTTCGGTTCGACTGACTCACCTCTGATGGTAACGGCTAGTACACTGGGAATATGCTAGCCCTATTTTTACTACCCTGGCACATGTCTGATTAGCACAAAAGGCTTCGTTTCGGGTTACAGGCGTTGTGACAGTGGTGACCGAATGGCCGTTGCCTGTTTTACCGGGTAGCAGCGCCTCGCCATCGGCTGGCGTTTGCTCGCCGATAGTCAAGCCAAAATCAGGAATGAATCATCGTGCGTCATACTACTGCGGGTAAAGCGACTAGTGTAAACCGTTATAGTGCCGGGCAAGTGGAATGAACGCACCCACTGAAATAACTGACGGTTGCTATGTAACTGCTACACAGGGTGATGGAATGAGAGGAGTAAGAATTTGATGGAAAGCAGTGAGACTCCTCTATCGAAAGAGGTAAAAATCCTAGATGGGCGATTGTAATTGCGCAACATTATCCGCGTGAACAAGGAAGAAAATTGCCCAAATTGGTAAGTCAAGTGGAAACAAACTGCTGGAATTATTCCCGAGAAATTGTTTTCAATAGCTTGAGCTCGTCAAACCGAGACAAAAAGTACAAAACCAGCTATGTGCAACCAAATGTTACGGAGGAAATGCGAAAAATAAATTTGTTATCGAAAGGTTCGAGACACGCCTCGATATGCACAATCAAATGTTGCAGCCACACTGAGGAAATCTGCAGTATGCACCGCGTTCAAAGCCCTAGAATAGCTATCGTCAACATAGCCTTTGTAACGCACCACGACCCGGCGGCCCCGCTGTCACTCAGTATCGACGGGGCAGTTGGCACCATCTTGCAGCAACAGGTAGGTGAACCTTGGTAAAACATGGCGCTTTTTTCTAAACGCCTGTAATCTTTATAATCTCGTTACAGCACGTTCAGTAGAGAACTATGAGCTATCTAGCTGGCCCTACGTCATTTTCGACATATCTTAGAAAGCTGCACCCTTGTTGTTTTCATCGACCACAAACTGCTGACTTACGTGCTTGGATCAACAACCGACCGATACTCCCCTAGAGAGTCATGGCATCTGGACTATACCGCTTCATTTACCATAGGTACACGTCTCAGGTGTGCACAACGCCGTCACCGACGCGCTTCCTCGAGTCCAAACGATCTCCGCTGACACCCACACTGCTATCGACCAGGCAGCCATGACTGCCGCACAATTCCATGATCCTGCTTTAGACATACTGCGCAGGTCCTCTCGCCAGACATGCGACTCGTTCCTCCAACATTATCAGATGGAAGTATTCTTTGCGACCCATCTCTGGGCAAACCGCGTCCACTCGAGTTTCGACAGACCGTGTTCGACACGCTGCATGGTTTTTCTCACCTAGGCGTTCGTGCGTCGGTTAGCTCATAACCGCCCGATTCGTTTGGCACAACGTCAATTGCGATGATCCTACTGGAGCAGCTACTTGCCTTCTGTGTCAACATGCGTAGGCACAAACGCATACGAAAAGCTCATTAGACACGTTTCCAACCACAGACGCACGTCGATCTCGTAGGTCCTCTGCCGCCTTCAAAAGACTCGGTATACCTGATGAATCGTAGTGACCGATTCACCAGGCGGCCAAAAGCTATTCACATTTCGAACGTCTCTTCGGAAAGAGTAGCAGAAGAATTTATAGAGCGCTGGATAGCACAGTATCGCTATCCCACCACCGATCGAAAGTTACATTTTTCGTCTCGTTTCGCCACGTTGCTTAAGGATTTAGGTTGTCACCACGTCCAGACGAGGGAGTAACATCCGGCCGATAACGGTATGGTAGAGCGATTTCACCACCAACTGAAAGCAGGACTCTGAGCGCACGCAGATCCTTCAGGATGCGATACACCTCCTTTTGCCCATATTGGCCTTAGGAACACTGTAAAGGCCACACTCAACGCGACACCAGCGCAGCTAATCTACGGCTGCACGCTGCGTTTGTCCGAACAGCTGGTAGCACCAGCACCGTCTACGTTATCTTTCGACAACGGGAGTTATACGGACCGGTTAGCTCACCAACTGCGTGAGCTGTGCCCGCCAGCTTCATGGCTGCAGAAGACACTGGTGTACGTGCACACGGTTACTGCTTCGCGTAGACGGTGTGCGACAGCCTCTGCAGTCGCCGTACATCGGGCCCTTTAGTAAACAATCGTACAAATCGACCGCGGTGGCCGACATTAATTTGTTATCATCGAGCGCCTGAAATCAGCCTTTTTGGAGAAAACCATCTTCATCGTTTAGCAATGCTTGGTGTGTTATAACTGACAGCACCAATCTTCAGCAGACAAACGTCATCCAATCAGACCACGATCCTGGTCTAGAGGCATCAGCCGTCTCGACATATTTCGATCCCGACCTGTTACCTCCCACGACCAACCAGCATGGTCGGGAGATTTGTAAGCGCGTTCGCTTTTCCGAATACGTTTGGATCTGTAAATGTCGTATAAATTCGTCACGTTTTAGCTGAATAACAGTTCGGAAACCAAAAAGGTACAAGCCTCCCAAAAGCTTCAGAAAAAATAAAAGCCCAATCAATGCCGTCGCGCACAAGCCGTTCTTACGTACTTTTTGGCGATTTTCATTTTTTGCCCCTACATGCTTGCAAGCTTAACGTCCGATCGACTGACAACTCAAGAGCGACGCGCTCGAGAATCGCTACAGTAAACGGGTAATAAAACGCAAAAACTAGACGTTCTTCTTAGGACGAAGATCGTTTTGGCACTAGGCGGAGTGCGGTGGTGGGAAGAGGTCATTCCCAAGCGCACTGTTTGGTGGCAGTGGAGGTTCGGGTTCTCTCGGCTTTTTTTTGGACTAGCCAGCCTTTTTGCGGTCTGACAATCCCGCTCCAACGGCTCGACATAATGCACCCCATTCTGCGTTTAGTTAAATAATAAGTTAAAAACGGCACAACGGGCCCTGTATTCCGATGAGCCCATTTTCGAAACGAACGATTGCACTCATTTTCACTATGCACAATTTTGCCTTATGATCGTTTACTCACTCATCATTTTGGACGTCGAAGGTTTATGTTAGTCATTTAGTTGAAGATGCTGTCTCGAAATCAAAATAAAAAGGCATCGGCATTACGCCGGTACGTAGGACCGACGCTAGGCTGCCGCGCAACCACCACCAATCGCATGTGGGCTAAGGATACTGTGGTGGTTATCCGGTCCCTACACAGGCTCGAACCCACGCCCTCGGATTACAAGGCGGGGTTGTGATCTTCAAGTCTACGGACCGGCTCGAAATCAACGTCCGAAGTGGAGGTTCAAAAAATGCATTTGTCAGCATATGAATACGATGATAAGGCACAACAAAGAATAACCGACTGCAATGCTGAAATGCATGGGTCACAGCACCACAATGTTTCAGCTTAACACGCTGCGAATTTAACCTCATTCCACAGAAGCCATTGTTGCAGATTCAATTCGGGTGCTGGATGAGGATCAACCTGCCACAACTAGTGCGCGAGTCACGCGGAGACAATCTCCCATACTCAAACGAAGTCCGTATGCTATTAAAGATAATAAGTTACACATTACTATGGTTGCCCCTTTAGGCTCAAATGAGCAAGAAATCGTGCGAGAACATACTTCGTGAGCAGTGCTTTAAACTGCACCGAAAAAGGGTCGAAGACATGACATGTCTTGGTTATAGGTCGACAAGGGCCGTGACAGGCTACTTGGCCTGTGTATATGCATATACTGGCAAAGTAACTCATCCGCAGGACAATCGGACCACTGTAGGATGTGCGCTAATGCTGGCTTAATCCATCAAGCTTGTCTATAACTTTGCTTGTGAGGAACGTTAACGGCTGCCTGTATTATGTGAACACGTCATCACGGGCAAGGTAACGATAAAGTGGTTACGTAGTGTATATACAAAGTCAATGCAGCTTGGGAAGAGCCTGGCCCAATGTGGAGCGGTGTGTTCCAAACCTCGACGCGGTCCATTTAGAACAAATGAGCGGGGGGAAAGGAGGTGGCCACATTTTGGCTGTTTTCAAAGAAAGACTTCTGTATTGCATCATTTATAGGTGCACAAAACACAAAAGACAGAAATAATCAAAGAAAAATAGTGCAAGATGGCTGATAACTAGCTGTGATTATCACCGGATAAAGGGAAAGAACGGTTCGATGATGTCTGCATGATAGCTGAAAGGCGTAGATGAACCAGTACGGTTGAGCAAAAATCTGCAATTGAAAAAGAGGGTAACGATTAAAAAAAAGCAAATTTGTTAAGATCACAGCCATTGGAAGGGAGCAGCAGGCGCAGTTATCACAGATGACGATGTGGATCTATCGAGAAGCTGTCGTAAGGATCGGTTCTCCTCCGTAAGGCGGTTCAGTTCAAAACTGGAAATGAAAAAGCAAAACTCATTAAATTGGGAAGTTATCTCGCAAAATGGACGTTAGTCAGAGCGGATGCCATGAACGTTATAAAAGTGTATACGATAGATGCACGTAGTTGACCACATGGTGCGAAAACCTCAGGCAAATAAATGTGGTGTTAGTTGAGGGAACAGAACAAATACAGAGTGTATGTATGTATTAGCAACAGTCTAAAGAATAGACGTAGAGCTAAACAAAACCATGGAAAACAAGGGAAGATGACAGGTTGAGTTGCCGCATCATTATGGCGCATTAGCTGAAGGTGAGCAACACACTACACCTATTGGTATTTGATATACACCATTTTGTCGTCACTTTCAATTGTTAAGCATTAAGCATCTGATTCTAAACCACCATGTACACAGATCTTCTACCGGTTTCGATGACGCACCATACCCCGAATAGTCACCAACCAACGGCACTCCTCGTCCTTTGGTTCCCAACCAGACAGGCGTCTGGATCCAATGGTTTGATCGTTGCGATCGTCCTAGCCGACTGGAACGATACGGAGCCCGCGTAAACTTGTACCCCGTCGAGACTGAACACACTTGTCGACACGTGCGAACTAGATGGAACGAACCAGTCGATACTAGCGCTGTTTACCGCTGGCCGCCGGTGCACCTAACCCCGAGGGAAGACTGGCCTTCAGGAGAGCACTTTTACGACCCAGCGTAAAGATGATTACATGGCCGCACAACCTCAATTTTATACCGAGACTGCCGAGATAGACTGCGGAGGTGAATACAATGCTGTGGGTGTCGGAACAAGTATGGACGTGTCCGACATGAGCGTCAGTGTGTCTGAATTGTAAGCTCACAAATTACGATGTCTGGATCACGACTGAGCACCATTTGGAGGGGGGACAAGTGCTTCTCATAACACAGTGCTACAAGTAGACACGAAGTTGCTCAGGTATACAAAGCTGTCCATGTGTTCAAGTTTTGTACCTTCAAGAGTGAACACGAGAACGGGCGAGTGTCAATCCTGTAGCAGCATTCTGCATTTTGACGGGGCGAAGCACATTCAGTATTTAGATGCCTCAATCACCAGATAGTTTGGAATGGTTCGCATGATCTGCAACCGTCACCAAATAAGGCGATGTCATCAGCATAATCTAGTCCGATTGCTCGATTTCCTGGTGGTAGCTGCAGACCAAAGAGTTGGTAGCCCTCCAGATCTCTCGACAGGACATCTTCAAAATTTAAGAGGAACGGAGACATAGGGCAGCCCTGTCGTACACCGCTATTGAAAGCAAAGAACGAAGAAAGCTTACAATAAACTCTTCTTTGCCGGAGATGTGGAGGTAGAGTGCGCGTAGGAAGGCAGGGTATTTTTCCGGTACCCCGTTCTTAAGAAAGTCACGCCATTGCATAAGTCGATTAACTGGGTCGAATGCAGCAGGGAGGTTCGAGAATGCAACGATGGTACACCTCTGGTGGATGTAGCGATGTTCGAGGATTTGGCGGAACGTGCAGATTTGACCAACATACCCACGACGGAAGCCTGCTTGTTCTTCCCGGTACTGCGATTCGCGAATGGGAGATAGTCTACGAAGTACAAAGCTTGGGGGCAACCGAAATGAGACTAATCCCCGGTGATTTGCACATGAAGTGTGAGCACTCTTCTTAAAAATCGGGACAACAGATGATTCGCCCCAAGAAGGGACTTTACTTCATGTTAGATGTTGGAGAACAAAAAGATTATAGAAGGGTAGTAGGGAGAGTCGAATGTTATAGGTAGAAATTCGCCACATCTAGACTCACTCAGACAGCCGTCACACGCCCGGAAAAGCATTGTACGCACGTTTCATCCTTTCGGGAATCATCAGCAGTGCGCATTCCATCTGACCCTGGTAGGGCTCGAACCTGCAACTTGACTGTTGCCAGTCCGTGGTTGAGACCACTGAGCTACGGGGGACGGCAACGACCATGGTAAATAAGTTACTAGATGTGATATAGCGCCGCTCACTATCCACTGACTTACACGTTACTGCCGTGCAGAGGACAGGGTAGCCCCCTCACCAAGCGACGAGCTTGCTGATGATAACTATGACACCATACTTGAATAGCTCCGGAAGAATTCCGTCTGAGTAAGTTGCCTTGAGTCTCTTTAATGCAGAAGTGCAAGACAAAGTCCGCTACGCTGGGTGGATCAAGTATGACGACCCAGGGCAGGCACCTGAGTTCTCAGGACATACAAGTGGACGGTGAAGGCCAATTGAACTGGGAATGAAAATGTTCAGTTTATCGATCCAAATGTGTTCACAGGCAAGCAATCAGCGAGCCATCCGCTTCGCAAATAGTCTCCCTCGCACCAGATTTCCTGTAACTAGTGGATCGAATGAGCTGGAAGAGCCTGCGAGTGTTACCAGATAGGGCAGTGGCCTCCATTTCCAAAGCGCGCTGGGAACACGAGGCTTCACGGTCACCGCGTAGGCTTTCTTTGAGCTGTCGACTGACAGCACGGTGCACTTCATTATGATTACACTCCACCAAGATATTTATGCGGCGGTCAAACTGATCCAGGGAGCGCGTGGAGACCCAAGCTTTCATAGAGTGCTGAGTAAGACCACAAATTAACAGTCTGGAAGACATCATGACCTGAGTCAAGAAATGTGGGCCAGATGGATCTGCAATACTTTACCCCACCATCTGAAACTGGTTGCGACATAATCAATCTGAAACTATAATTAAGACGCAGTGGCGGGATGCCAAGTAGCGTAATGTCTCTCCGAATGCCAAAAGCTGGTGCCACAGAGGAACAAACGATTGGCTTCGCACAGTATGAGAAGTTGCTCCACTATTTGAGAGTCCCTCAGCGGGCGCATAGTGGCAACCGAGGTGACTTTCACATGGTAATGGGCAACCGACCCGTGCGTTGAGATCCCCAGCAAGGACAACAATATCGGCTTTACAGGCACTGCTCAAGAGCTGTTCACGACAGAAATCGTCCTTGACCGAGTGGCAACTAGTCATTCAGAGCTTACACTGATATCACGAACAAGTTGCGTCTCTTCTCACGAGGTCGGTTGAGCTTATATGATTCTCGAAGCCGAGCTGCACACGGCCGGCTATTAATCGGGAACCAGTCCAATAATGCGGCTCGGTTTTGCCACTTAGTGCTACGCTAACGTCAGCCAAGTCTGTCGCGGTTGCTTCGGTGCCACCAGACAAACGTAGATTAAAAATGACTCCGCAGTCGGTGGGAGATTTCAACGCAATTATAATACTGCGATCCTGCAATCGGGTTTCATGAAGACAGCAAACATCGATGACGGGGGATTTGAAGACGCGCGCGTGGCCAGTCCGCTGCCAGAGCTGCATGGGTGTACGCAGGTGGAAGCTTGCCAGAAGGAATGAGGATCGAGGCGGAAGGAGGGACACTGGGCCAGCTCTGCGTCTGTCAGCGAAGCAATCAAGAGTAAAATCATGGAAACAGGAATCAGCTAGTAAAGGATAACAGTGATTGGTAAATAAATGAACACGTGGTATGTGAAGGAGTGTGAGTAGCAGAAGCGAAAGCAGCTGAGCACGGTAAAGTAGATGAAAGATAGGTGATTTTGTCAGCGAGCGTCCGCGCGCTGTCACCATTCCTCTTCAATTTCGCTACTGATGAAGTCATGAGGATCGCTTTCACAGGAGATGACTTAGGAGGTGCGGAGCTGCTCTCAGGAGAACTACTTCATGACTTGGAGTATGCAGACCATATTGCCCTCATTTTCGACAGCTCACAAACGTGTCAAACTACAATGGACAGATTAGTACTGGCTGTCCGTCAACTTCATGCTTTGCTTCGCACCCTCCAAGTGCAAAGCGTTCCTCCAAGATTGGTCTGGGTCGCCTCCTGCGCCAACCCTTTGTGGGGACCAGCTAGAAGTCGTTCGGAAATTCACCTACCTTGGAAGCTGTATCAGCGCTTTTGGGATTGAAGATGAGATAACGAGCCGTATAGCAAAAGCTCGAGGTGATTTTGCTAACCTTCGTCACCTATGGCGGCGGCGCGACATCACTTTCGCCCTGAAGGGTAGAGTGTACAATGCAGCGGTACGTTGCACCCTACTGTACGGTTGTGAAACCTGGCCCCTTAGATAAGCCGCCATAATGAGGCTAGTGTTACGCCCGACCACCGGTGCCTTCGCGGTTTGGCTCACATCTGGTTGGAACATCGTGTGAGCAACGGGCGTGTTCGAAACCTTGTTTACGGCACAGGAAGAGGAAATGAACCGCTCAGCACCGTTATTTCACCCACCAGGTTACCATGGCTTGGCCAAGTGTTACGCATGCCAGCCCACCGACTTTCCACGAATGGCGTTGTTTGCTTGCCGAGAGTGTGGATGGAAGATGAGTGGTGGCCAAACGATGATTTGGTCGAGAGGAATGAAGGCCAACAATTCTGAGCTGGCCTCGGTTGGAGCGTCTTGGCTCCCTGGTTGGGGTCCAAAAGACGGTGAACACGTTTGGCTAGAGACACTTGTTGACATGGCTAGGAGCTGACCTCAGTTGCGTCCTTGTTGTGAGTTTCTTTGTTCCACCCCATTTCTCTTAGCCTGCTGTTCCATTCATCATCGCACTACTCAGACTTATATGATTTTGCATAGCGAAATTTTTTTGCTGCATAGTAATCAGCTGGTGGCTTACCGGAACGATGCCCCTCCGTTACCGGTAGCTCAGCTGGTATGCCTCTGTAGCATGTTTTTATTTTCCTTTTTTTCTTTGTGTATTGCGGCGCAGCAATTGAGGTGTTTTCCACTTCTGGCTAACGTGTATAAAGATGATGAATTCAGGGAATCACGCCCGTTGGTAGTCGGTGACTGAATGCTCAGTTCATCCGCTTTTTGCTTGGTAAGACACCAAATAGGAGCCCAATCCTCCCCATGATATCAGCACATTTTGTGGACTGCAATGCCCCATTGGAGCGAAGCCAGGGACAGTGACTTTATTTAGTGGCAAGTCACATCTGCCATG